CAAAATCTGCATATATAACATGTTAAATGTATTTTTAAATTTATTTATAGTACTATATTGGATTGTTGGAAGAAGAAGGAACTTGCAGAGAGGTGTTTTGATGGTGGGACTTTCTGGAGCAGGAAAAACTTTGCTTTTTTCAAGGGTAAACAACTCCCTGCTTGTAAACTTTTATAAAATGTGCTTATTTCAAACTGTTAACAGTTAAATAGAATTTTATGATGATTTTATAGACATGTTAATTGCAAATCAAAAGAGGTAATTATTTCTGTGGAAATAACTAGCTAGGCATCACTTATAATACTTGTGTACAATTTTAGTTTCCTTATCTAAGAAATGATATTGAATTACTGAGAAAGGTTCAGAGGAGAGCTACAGTGATGACTCCAGGAATGGAAGGATTATCTTACAGGTACAAGTTAAGATTATTCATCTTATTTTCCCTTGAAAAAAAGAAAGGTAAAAGGTGATGTTATTGAAGTTTACAAAATTGTCCAGGAGATTGATAGGATAAAAGTCTCTGATGTCTGTGAACTGAATTCTTAAGAGAACAGGATGAGTAGACACAAATTTAAGACTTGTAAAAGAGAGACTAGGCTCCATTTAAAACAGTTTTATTTATTTTCACTGGGTTGATGATTTATTGAATGAATAGCTATCAGTGATAGTGTAAGCCAGCACTTTACAGGACTTTAAGAGGGGAATAGATGATTTCCTTAAAGGTAAACAGTTAGTTTGAAGTTTTAATATTCCCAAGGATGAGTGACCACTTGAAGGCCCAAATGGTTTCTTGTTGTCTGTAGGTTCTGTATAATGTTAATATTATAAAAAAGCCAATAGTCTTAGTGTTCTGACTTCTATCCTGCATTAGTTGTAAACTGAAGCATCAGTGCATTATACAAGTTGAACTGCCAGCATCGTCAATTTTCCACTGATGAAAGAGTTGGATGCTGCCAAACCAAAATACTTAAATCTTGGTTTTTAAACTTAGTGTTTTGTAACCTTGTTTTTTCTTTAGTGGATGTGGGCTTAAATTAAATTAATTTTCATTTTGTTGCATCCTATAGTTTGTCAGAGAGCTTGAAGCAGCCATCAACTGTCTACTAATGAAATAAAATAATTTAACATTTCCTAAATTCATATTTATTATAGTGAGTAAAGAGTATCTGGTAATTTGTTATATCTTAAAATACATTCATGCTGGTTTATGAAGCTATAATTGCATGAAGAGACTTAAAAAATATTTGTTGAAATTTATGTAATTGGTATTAAAACTACATTGAAAGCATGGATACCGATTGAAGTCTCAATTGTGCTAGGATGTGTTGTAAACTTTGCCTAAAAAGTATGTAAATATTAGACATCTTCTCTTGGTATGCATATAAATACTCTTTCTAGGTACATATAAATATACACTAGATATCCTCTCTATTTATATGCATAAATACTAAATATATGTTTAAGCATAACATACATGTTCTAGGTACAGTAAGTGTACATTTTTTTCATTTTAATATTATCTCTTAGAAAAATATTTTAGTTGAAGTAAATCATACTTGTGTTTGGTAAATAATTTTTATTTGACAATAGCATAATTACATAATTTCTATAAATTTTGAGCAAAGTTAACACTGATATTGTTTTGGTTGCCAGCTGGTAGCATCCAAGAATGTGGAAACATATACTTCAATGAAGGAAAATTCCTCCTCTATCAAGGTTCCGAATAAGGTAGGTTTCACTAATTATTTATATATGAGATTCTAAACGTTTTGTCTTATAAGTATTGCTGTATTGGGAAGAGAAGCACTTATGATGAAATTACATGGTCTGGTCAGAAATGTAGCAAAATACAAAAAAGTGATCACTTTGAATGGGTCAGGTTAGTTATGATAAAAAAATATTCAGTAAAATCTGATCTTTTTTCGATATTTCCAAATGAATGAATTGCTAATACACTCAGACAGCAATATGGACTCGAAACCTTCAAGTTTCTTCAGGGCTTTAGAGAAATTGGATAAAAAATAAGGAAAGATCAACCTTGACATTTCATTTCTTACTACATACAAACAACATCTTGTGTTTTTTAGTTTTAAAACCACAAATCATGAGATTTGTGACTGCAGGCCTATTGTTCCTGGCAGTGTCATTGTCTTCAAGAATAAATAGCTGAAACTGAACTTGTACTAAAGGATACAATTGATATTTATTGTCTGGTTGATTCAAAATAATCATTTGGTGATTGTGAAAAGCAAACTGAAACTGCTAGTTTGTATCAATATGGTTTTTTAATGAAATTTTCTCTAATTTTGGTAATGCTAATGAAGAAAGAGATTCATAAAATTTACTAATTATTTGGCATTTAATATTATGAACTGAAAAGATAATGCTCTTATTTGTCTTGTGTGTATCAGAATCATTTATATATTCTTGAAAGGGATATGGTTTGTATGGAGATTTGATGATTGTTCATTAAGAGCAGCATATGATATACAAGTTTAAACTTTAATTAGAATAGTGAATTTTGAAAATTGTTCATCATACTAGGGTGTACTAAAGCTGATTGACCTGCCAGGAAATGAACGATTAAGAAGCAAGTATCTAGATGAATTCAAAAGCTGTGCCAGGTTAGTTTCTTTTTCTTTGTTCAACCTGAAAAGGTTCCATGTTGGGAGTGAAATTGTTTGTAAAATAAGAAATTCACTAAAATGGATATAGTATGTTTCATACATTCATAAAACGTAATAGGTTTGTTTGGGAATCGAAGTTTAATGATAAGAGTAGAACGATGGCAACAACAACAAATATTTGACACGTGTGTGTGTGCTGTAACAAATATATAATTCTGGAACATTTTGAAATGTGCATACTCCATATTCAGCAAGCTATATTGAACAAGTTAGAATATTAGATACAAAATTTATGTACATGCCAAAATGTTCAAGAATTAAATGTTTGTTGCCACTGTTCTACCCATTATCATAAAACTTAATAGACTTATATTCTGTTATACTTTTTCTTTTGTATGACTGAGAAAAAATGAGAGCTGTGATTTCATATTTTTTTATTAATTTATTGTATTAATTTGTAGATAAACTTTCAGTGTTTGGATGTTTTGTACTTTAACGTTTTTGAAACATTGCAAATTGTAATACTTGGTATAGAAATGGAACTTTTATACATTTCATCAAATTAAACATTTATTAAATTATCGGAAAATAATCTGCATAAGTCAGTAATTTGGCACTTCTATAGTCTATGACCTGCTTAAGTAACTTGAAATTTCTGTAGTAGGATGTCAAGTCAGTAATGACTAGCTAAAATAAGTATTTTGACACTTCTGTACTCAGGATGTCAATAATGATCTGCTTAAGTCAATAATTTAACATTTCTGTGATCAAGATATCAGTAATAACCTGCTTAAATCAGTAACTTGACTCTTCGTGAGTCAGGATGTCACTACCAGCCTGTTGGAGTAAGTAATGTGAAATTTTTGTAGTCAGGATATCAGTAATGATCTGCATAAGTCAATAACTCTTCTGTAGTGAGGATACTAGTAACCGCATACTTAAGTCGGTAATTTGACTCTTCTTGAGTCAGGATGTTACTACCAACCTGTTGGAGTAAGTAATGTGAAATTTTTATAGTCAGGATATTATTAATGACCTGCATAAGTCAATAACTCTTTTGTGGTGAGGATACTAGTAACAGCGTTCGTAAGTCGCTAACTTGACTCTTTTGAAGTTGGAATGGCATTCTTTTACAGCATTTTTCATTGGATTTTATTTTGAAAAACCATTAGAGAGAATTTTGAAAAATAAACCTTTTCTTGCCAATTTGCATTTCTGAAAATTCAAAGCCATTATATACAAAGGTGATTGCCATTTCTCCCAATCTTTATTTTTTAATTCCTTTGGATATTCTGGTTTACAAAGTAATTTTAATTTTAAGAGATTCTTTCTCTTGCTTTTTAAAACAAAGAGTACATGGAAATTTAGTATTTACTACTGGTGTGTGTATCATCGTTTGTACTGAAAATTGGTCATTTTCGAGCCTCAACCATTTGCTTGATTAATATTTTGATGAGTGGCAGTTCCCTTGTTCTTGCATTAATTCATGGATTCATGCTCTGTCATCAGGTGCATCAGCATCTGCAATTGGCTATTTAGTGAGAGTGTCAACACAAGATAGTTCACTTTTGAATAGATGGCAGCACCTGTATGTCTAAGGGATTGCTTGAAATAATACCAGCAAAACTTAATGAGGAAGAATTAATGATAACAAGAAATTTACACAGAGAAGAAAACTGCTGTGTTCATCAAAGCCATAATATGCCAAAAAAAGAATTGTGATGTAATATTTCAAGCAAGGAAATAGCAGCATTAATTTGAAGAGAAAAGAAACTGATCAAACATGCTAAAATTTGCCCAAAGCATTTTTTGGAAAAGAATTATCACTTAAGTTTTGTGGGAAAGTACTTTGTTAATTCATTCCTTTAAAATAACACATCATGAACATTGATTGTTTAAAATTATATGCTACTCAGCATCAAATGTATCAGTGGTACTAATAAAGTGTATTAGAATATTGATTTAAGAATTTTCTACTGAAGAATAGTTTTAACTAAATTAAGTAATTCAGTCATACTTTACATAAAAATAGGTTATTTAATCATTTTGAAAGTGAAATTTATACTACTTAAATTCCTGATAATTCAGGATGTCATTAATAAATTCATATATTAAATAATATATAAAACACAGACATATTTCTTCATCAGACAAGGTTGGAAGGCTAACATGGATAATTTATCAATTTAACCAGTGTAGGTATTACACAGAAAATGGTTAACATACCATGACTGCTATTGTAGCAATAAAGACCATTATAGTTTACAGCGTAACTGTGCCAATAAATTTAATTAACTTGCTAATTTTTATCTTTAGAAAAGGCAATTCAAGATCACTGTCTTAATTTATTATGTCAGTTTGTTTTATATACCAACTTAAAAGTAGAAGAGTCTGTGAAGACTGAATTAGGCTACTACTTTAGTATGTGTAAGACATGGGTAATTGCATGGTATTTTGCCCATTTGTAGATGTTAAGCACAATCATAATAATTTAAACATTAACACTACCTTTCCAATAACTTTTTTTTATTTATTTATTGTTGTTTTAGTTCCTAACTGTCTTATCTGTAATTTTTTAATATCTTTTACTGTCAACTTGTTTGTAGTCTGTGTCACTGCAGTGATCTAGCTATGATTAATGAACAGTACAGACAGAGACATCTAATGAAACTTCAGGATGAAATTCACCTGTTAGAATGAAAAGAATCATTGCAGTGAATACTGAATCTCAGTGTCTATAACCAGACTAATTATGAAAAACAACTTGTTAAGAAAACATTCAATAATGTTCATCATATAGAAAAAAATTAATATTATTTTCAAAATCTGTGTAGCTGAATTATGGAAAATCTGTTATTAAACCAAAACAACTTTTATAACATAGAACTATTTTATAATAAATAGTTTGCTACCAATAACACAGGCCTGCGATAGTTTTATTGTCTTGAAATTTTTACATGTTCTACAGTAATTCCTGCACTTAATCAGAAAATATCCATTTTTCTCCATCATGTACAGATTTTTCACATAATTCAATTTTAGTTTTCAGACTAAAAGACATAGATTTTACACACAAAAAATCAGAATGAATGAGGATGCATATTTGTTTGAAATCAATGTTTTTCCTTATGCTTCAGTTTGTTTGTATTTTTTTAAACAAACATAATAATAAAAAGTGTTCATTGTGATAAACAAAATGATAATTTTAACTAAGTAAGTATTTTTTCTTCCCAATTTTTAACAAATCCTTACTTGATAGAAAAAAATTAATATTATAACCCAAACAACTTTTATGAAGTTTAACTTTACAGGCCTGAGTATTTGGTCATCAGTTGGTAATGTCTAACTAATCATCAGACATGACCTTTTACCAGTTCTCATCATTAGGCAATTACTGGAAAGTTTACACGTTGGACATATTTTTGTCAATTTTTGATTTTGTAAAGTGATAATTTTTTAAGAACCTTTTCATGATTCAGAGTTTTATTTTCAGGTAAATTTCACAAGATATGTAAAAAATGATTATATATAAAAAATCATTAAGTATCTTTCAACAGTACAGACAGAGTTGTTTCCATTTTTATACTTTGATATGCATTTCAGTAGTTTCTAAAATAAGGTTGTTTTTTTTCCAGGGGATTTATTTTCGTGATTGACAGTTTATCATTTTCAAGAGAAATAAGAGATGTTGCAGAGTAAGTAATAATAATAATAATAATAGTGTGGTGGTTTAAATTTTGTAGTTTCCTGCACACATTTTTTATAGAATTTACATATTTTCATTTACTATATTTTTTGTCATCTGTGCCTTGATTAAAAATATATTGCAAAAGAAGGCACAGATGACAAAAAATATAGTAAATGAAAATAATAATAATAATTGAATTAATCATAAAACACAAATGTATAAACATAGAGCATGTTTTTGGAAATGTCTCATCAGAAGAACAAAATTCTATAATCAGTAATCTACAGAAAGGAGAACAAATATAATTACAGAAACAGATATAAATAGCTAAATATTAATAAATATCCCCATATGTTCATGTTCATGTACTTTAAGATTGTGCTTAGTTTTGACAATATAGTAGCTGTATAGTAGAGCTGGGCAATAAGTGGTATTTGCTAACTGATTAATCAACAGGTTCATTAAAAAATAAATTTGTTTATTTGATTAGTACATGACCCTTACAACTCATGCAAGCAAAAAAAAAATCTTGCACTAATCTTCTATAAATCAAGTAAAATGACAATTAAATAATAAAAACACGTTATTCTTTGGGATGGGCAGAAAAATTCTTAAAAACATTGACAATTTCAAATGGGTTTCTTTTTATACAAGCAAAGCTCTTTGTAGTTGATTAAGAAGGAAAATATGAACTTTTTTCTTTATCAATTACACTAAATAAATGTCATAAAATGTCAATTCTGAAATATTTTTGAGTTAAAGTACTTTAACCCTTTCACTGCCAAATTTCCCTATGGAAAGTGGTCTACAGTGCCGGAATTTCTGGTGAAAAATGCCTATTTTGAAATGCATTATTTTAAAATCCCCAAATCACCCTAAAATGTACATATATGCACTGCAAATGTTAGAAAAGAACATTAAAACAATAAAAACGACATTTTAGAGGAAATATAGTTTTACTACCTTTTTTATTCTAACGTGTGAAATGCTTGACCATGTGGTACTTCGTGAAGCAGTCTGGAAGACACATGGGAAGGCATCGCTCATTCCCATCCTTACAATTCATGCATCCATGTCTGGTTTGCTTTGGATGTGTAGGGCTTTCACTGCACACTACACAGTTAAGCTTGTATTTAGGATCTGGATAAGCCATTGGAAAGTAATGCCCTATCAGTTGCTCCTCCCTATCCTCTGGGTTATCTATCAACCTCCTCCCTTTCCATCCAAATTTATTCAGAGGAATAGAAGCACAGAGTTTGATTGCCACCTTTTTCCTGAATGAATGTGGATCCATTTTTGAATTAGGGTTGGCAGTTGTGTACAGTATGAAGGAGTTGACTAGTGCTGCCTCTCTGATGAAGTTATAAATTGTGTGGTACCACTTTTTGCACTTGTGTCGATATGAGTAGCTGGTACATTTCTGGTCAAACAAGTCAACTCCTCCCATTTGAAACATTGTAATTGCAGGCCACATTTGGCTTTTTCATATCCCTAAATCCAAGCTCTGACTGCTTGGATCCAATTTGTTTTTGAGTTTAGCCATTATTATATTGTCAATAGGAAGTTGACCCTTGCAGTGTCATGCCAGGAGCAGACAAGCATATCATCCTTTCTGTAATAAACAGGATTATCACCTTTCTTCAGCTGTAACCTTGCTGGTCTAATTTCTTCTGGAAGTTCTCTTCCCTTCAATCTCACAGTTCCACAGGCATCAGTACCCTGTTCCTTGAGGGTTTCAAAGAGGCCAGGGCTGGAGTAGAAGTTATCAACATATAAATGGTGGCCGATGTTCAAGTATCCATTATTGCCCATCAGTTTCATAACAACATTATGACCCAAGCTTTACTCAGGAACCACAGGGTTGTTGTCTCTACCAGTATAAACATCCCAGTCTAACAGATAACCCAACTAGCTCTCACACAATGACCACAGTTTTATACTCCACCTTGTGGGTTTGTTCGGTGTGTACTGATGAAAGTATATTAATCCCTTGAACTTCCTCATCGATTCATCAATTGTAAGTTTATGATGTGGAATGTAATACTGCTTATACAGAGGCTTCACAATATTCATGAGAGGAGCAATTTTATACAAAGGATCATATCCTTCTTCTACACGTGGAACCCTTTGAGAATTTTCACAAAAATGAAGGAAAGAACTGATTAGCTGTAACTATTGCATGGCAGTATATCTGAATAACTAGAGGACTGGGCTATACCCCCAGTTGCCCAGTAGTCACTAATTCTTGGCTTGGAACACAATCCCATCATTATCTGCAAGCTTTGATTTTATCTGTTGTACACTCAACCCAATCATTGAAGTGAGAATTTTCAGGGATGTCTGCCGGAATATCAAAGGGCATAGGTGTTAATCATCTCACAAATAAGCACAAATGCTTCCTGAGGGACTGACAAGTAGAAATAATCTACAGGGTGGTTACTGTTGGGCAAAGGTGGAATCACAGGGCCAGGCCTTTTGGCATAAGCTGGGCAACAAATTGGGATATATTTGTCATAATCATCATCATCAGTGACCCACTCATGATCAGCATCAGCCACACCCCCTTGGCTACCATCATCATTATCATTGTCCCCATATGCTAGCTACATCATCTGTATTATCATTACTTACAGTATTATTAGTATCTGTGTCACTGTTTTCCCAATCATCATTGCCAAATTCACTCAATTCTGAGTCTGAATCTTGCATTATATCACCCAATACATCCTCTGTTGCAAGCCATTGTTTTTGTTTACGTTTACCTGTTAACATGGTTCCGGTCAGTGCTCTCAAATGGGGTCAAAAGTCAAGAATTTCACAAAAATAACACCCATGATTGAGGAAACTACACTAAGTTACATTGTGGTTGTCTAGAAACCGTGCAGGTGAGGCATGGAGTAAATTACAGACCGGTAAACTGAGCTATGTCAGGAATTTGACTTAAGTCGCGTTCGGCACTCTACCTGGAATTTGACTAAAGTTGCGTTCGGCACTCTATCTGGAATTTGACTAAAGTTGTGAACGTCAGTGAAAGGGTTAAATAGAGTTAGAATTAACATATAAAATTGCCTTAAAAATTTCTGGCAAAAATATATGAAAAGTTATAGGAAATCCTGTCTTCAGATATAATAACTTAGAAGTACGTTACATTGTTTATTCTAAACTTTTATACATGCAATGTAGTACAAAACCTGTAGTATCCTGAAAACACAATTAATAGTGTACTGTGGGTACATATAAATTTCCACTAGGCTACTGTACTGAAACTAATAATTTGTTGTTGATGAAAATAAACGTATTACTTTCTGACATTTTTAAGCAACAAGTTTCCATATAAAGTTCAAACTTTATTATCCTAAAAACATCACTAATAAAACGTATAAAGAAAAACATAAATAGTTTCAACTGTAGGCCTACACTATGTGTAAGTTGAATACTTCTTTCATTGTTTTGGAAGTAAAATTATTTTTCAACTCACATGTAAAAATTAATACGTCAGATTTTACTAATAGTACTAATGTTAATTTAACCCTATCTCTGTGGGTCTTTCTATGGTCATAGGTCAAAGACCATCTCATCACATTTGTAGACTCACATTCAAAATTTTATTGACTTACAATTTTATGATGTATGTCAATAAGTTTGGTATCAAAATGTAGATTATAATTCAAATTTTACTATTATACATTAGTTAATTTCTTCAATAAGAAAAATAAAAATCCTAAAT